TTGATGTCGAGATTGATCTAGTGTTCAACCATGATTGATTTGATTATAAGAGCATTCAAGCTCGTTGACACGTTCAATATATTTGTGTTCCATAAATTATCGTATTAATTCTTGTGTCGTCGATTGTTTATGGGATAATTGATTAATTATCGTTTCGCTCTTTAACATCGTATGCCATATTTAAATTATTTATTGAGCTTTCTCAAGCTCACCCCATTTCCCCTCTCAGTTATAGGTTGAACCTAAAATTAAATTTGGTGCACAATCAAGACAATTAGTGAATCGAATATTTTCGGTCAATTGTAATTAAATTTGTTATTGGGAGATTATTTGTTCATTGAGGATCTTAGTGATTCCATTTAAAAGAAAGCGTTGAGCATCAAATTAGTTGATATGGAGTTAATTTTTCATTCTATGAAAATTGCTTATTATTTATGGAAATTAAATTTTTGTATTTGAGATTATTAATGCTCTGAATATTGTGAAAATGGATCAGGGTTTTACACAGTGAATGTTTCATTTAATTGTCCATATATCGTGGAATTTTGGCATATAAGAAAAGCCACATAAAGTTTTTTATATTAAAATAAAGTAAGTTTCTTCATTAGTTCATCTCTCTCGTTGAGAAGTTGAAAATAATGATTAAGTTTTGCTCTCTCAGCAATCAATAAGTAGCCTTTAATTTTCATTCTCCTTTTTTTTTTTTTTGTTAGGATGCTGAACAATCAAAAGATGTTTATTCAACAGTCCTTCAACTTTTCAGTATCTCCACCATATCCGTCTCTCTCCAAAAGTTAAGATCTAAATACTTTAATTCTGCTATTACTCTTCGCAAAATTTCCACAAGATTAACCCGCATTTGATTTTCAATCTTCTTCAATACTCAGATTGTAGTTTTATAAATTTTAATCAAATCTCTAAGTTCCATATTGTAATAACAGTTTTATTTATATATAATATATACTAGGCTTTTTTAATTCTTGTTTTTAAGAATTCGGTGTTGTTACATATATTTTCCATTTGCATGTTATTTTATCAGTGTCACTTTCTAACATTTCACGTAATTCATGGAATTTTTCCTCATTGTCGAAAGAAATGATTACTGCCTTTGCCACGGCCTACATTGGCAAAACCACCTTACATATGGCTAGAAGGTTACTTATTTAGAAGGTACAGATACATTGGTCATCCAGGAAAGTTTCTTTCAAAATATTAGCAAGAACATTAACAGCTAAAACATCAAACGTATGAATCAAGACTATGGACAGCGAGATAAAGGAAGAACACCAGGTATAGACTGTGAATTCAAGCGGAATGTTGACCCAGAGATCAAATTTGAAACAAGAGTAAGAAAACTGCATTCTAGTGTCTGAAAAAGATACAAGAAGCACATATGGAATTCATCAGTTACTACACTATTAAGGAAAGACACCTGTGTATTTCCATTATGATAATTAATTGTAACCTTCAATTCTAAAGCAGATAAGAATACACATGGCACATCAGATTATTCAGAAAAAGGTAAAAAGAATTGGGCTACTCACTCTTCAACACCTGGTCTCAAAGGTAAACTTTTTGACATCACAAGATCATCCAATGCATTTTTCTGCCAACAGTCAACGACATATCATTACTAAGCCACCCCAAATCTCATAATCTCCACCAAATAAACCACACAACAATCTTCCACAAGCATTTCAACAAGATTAATCTTTACCAATTGCGAAGGAACAAGTTTGTTACCTTACTTTGCAAAGTTTCAAACACTGTGGAGATAAATGAGGAACCCTTGCTACTACTTGATACTAATTGATGCAACTTGAGAGAGAAGACTGTTATATATAGGAGATTGAAAAATCCAAGATGATTTAATGAAATTATGAGTGATTAGGAGTTGGAGAGAATAGGATTTAGAGATTTGAAATTTAGGAGGAGTAGGAGTATATTTCGTGTGCTTCAAATCCTTGAGATTAGCATTGCTGCCCTTAATACCCCAATCCATGTTGCCCCTTTTTTTTTATTGCTGAATTTGGTGTGTTGCGTTGTTGCACTGTGGATGGCGCGCGAGGCGTTGATGATGTATTAGTTAATTGCTAAAGCTCTATGGAGTAGTGCTACTGAGCTATTTGTGCAGTAGCTTAGCGCTTAGGCGATGTGGACAGCACTGCTGTGTTGGACGAGGGTCTGAATGTCTAGTAGCTTAGCGCTGAGGCGTTGTGGAAAGCGCTGCTGCACTGTTTATACAGAAGGTAAGCGCTGAGGTGCTGTGGACAGCGCTGCTCTATCTTAATTCTTCCTATTTCATATATTGAGAATAATGTTTAGTTTAAGTTTGGGGGTGTATTTTTGTTTGAATTAGGTATGCCTTTAGATAACATATTTTGCACTTAGATAGCATGTTTTAATACAACTTGAGCAATGGGTTGATTGAATTTGATTATGGCCAATGATGAATGTGATTAATTGTTAATTCAAGAGAAATTGATGAACATGTTGAGATTGTAGTTTAACGTACTAGTTAGTTTTATACTATTTGTGATCCTTTTATTCATGAGCACATATCCATCTGTTTGGTTAGTTATTATTTAGATAATTTATTTGGTTAAATGATTGGGGGAGATATCATTGAAACTTTAGAAAACTTTTTTAAGCATCATTCAAAGTAAATTGAGCTATTCATATAAGATTAGGGAAAATCTTGGATATGATGGGTTATTTGAAAAAAAAGGAAGGTTTTGAAAATTATTTTGATTTGATCCTTCATGAGTTAGAAAAAAAAAAAAAAGGGGGGGGCATGTGGTGAGTAGAGATAAAGCGTAAAATGAACTCCCTCATAAACACATGTTGAGAACTAGATGAAGCGTAAAACGCACTCGATCTAGAGAAGGCAATATGGAACGAAAAATGCACTCGTTCAATAGGAGGTGAGATAGAGCACAAAATGCACTCATTTAACGAAGAGAAAAAAAAAGGTGAAAAAAAAGTCTTTGTACCTTCTAGTTATATGTTTTGCCTTAATTAGCATAAATTGATGTGAAACGTAAGTTTAAAGAGTTGATATTGAGTATCTTTCATGAAGTATTTGATTACGTAGATTTATCTGGGTTATGACTAGTTTGAACAATTCCGATGTACACATGCATTTAGAAGGTCATGAGAACAGGTAAAAGGAAGGAGTATGTTGAATTTTTCGACTTTGCAATGTTGTGAAGTTTCCCTTGAATTATTAGATGTAGTAATTTTTGGGGCCTTTATTCAGATTTATATTAATCCATTGTTTGAGTAGTTGATTGTTAGAGTTAATTTTTATAGTTTTCGTTCTTAGTATTTGCTTGAGGACAAGCAAAAATTTAAGTTTAGGAGTATTTGATGAGTAGGTTTTATACCTACGAATTAAGTATGCTTAGCTTGATGAAATTGCGAGTTTCCAAGTATTTTATATTCTTTTTTATTCATTTTGTGTGTTTTAATTTAGTTTTGTAGGGATCATAATTTGGAAGGAAAAATGGTCATTTGGTAGCCTAAGTTTTGGATTAATTGAGGACTGAGCAACAAAGACAGTTGCACCCATGGAAAGTGATCAACACTGCAGCGCTAGTTGTAGAGCTGCAATGCTATAGGTGCAGAATTTCAGCACTGCTGTACTGTTTTGCAGGGCTGCAGCGCAGGCTTCAACTTGGGATACAAATTCTAACTTGTTTTTGAGTAGGAATTGAACTCTCATGCTACACCCGGTAGGGTTGATATATATATCCTGTTAAGGAGGGCTGCTAACATATAGAGAACCAAGGATTGATAGTGAATTGAAAGCAAGGATCAAAATAAGCAACGCAAAGGAGATCGAAATTGGAGGCTAGAGATAGATTGAAGATTCCAACACAGTTTTTATTCTTTTCTCTTACTTTTAGTTTTTGATTTTCTGAGATATTGATTAATTTGAGGATGATGTTTTTCAATTACGTTATAAACTAATTTTTTTTATTAAGATTGCAATGGAATTTGATGTTTAGTTAAATTAATTTGCTCTCGTTTTCAGTTATTATTGATCCTACATAAGTTGTTTATCATATTTTGTGTTTGATATATGATTGTTTGGTCAGCAATTAATTTGATTCTATAAATGAAATTGGAAGGTGACTTATAAGATCTAGATCTGAATATGATAACATGAGTCTAGTTGTTTATTCTTAGGATTGAATAGTTGGGTTTGTGTATAAAATAGGAATATACTTATATGTCGTGTATAACTTTTATGAAAGTTTGACCTTAATGAATTTATTTCAATTTATATTGCATAGGAATATAGTGATTTAATTGGAAGAGATAGAAGAAGTTTAATAAATAATTTTGAATTCTCAGTTAACAACTTATTTTGATTAATTAACTTGAAGGAGAGTGAAAAGATATATACGAAACATTAGAAGAAGTTGTAATCTTAAGTTCTTTTATCTGGTAGAATTAATCATTGTTTAGTAGTTTTAAATTAGTAATTTCATAGTTTAATTTCAATTGTTTAAATAAAATCAAATTAATATAAAGTTAGTACTTGGAAATTATTAATAATAATTCTCTGTAGGAATGATATTCTACTCATCACTTTATTACTTGTTGATCATGTATACTTGCATATAAATTGTCAATATCAAAATCGGACAACATTGACCAACATCCAGTCAAGTGGGATAGGACCTAGTCTACCAGGAGCATGTCTACCGGCCACAAGCTAGTCAACCATGTAGCTGCATGCTCTGTGCTTTAACGAATCAACATATGGCTTCATTGCCCTATTACTTACTCAAAGTAGACCTTAAAATGAATCAGTTGTAGTGAGTGGCCCTGATCTGAAATGACCAAAATGCCCTTTGTGTAATTACTAGTGTAACAGTACTATAAAAGACTGAAATTAAAAGTAAGAGAATAACTGCATAGTAGTCCTGTTTCACCCCGAGGACTTTTTCAACCTTGACCTGTTGTGAATTGGGATTTCTAGTTCATTACAATTATATGGAAAGTTGAGAAGGGGGAGGTTCTTCCTTTTCTACTAAATCAATTTCACTCCATTTCAAGCAGACGTGAGTAAAATTTAATGTGACATCGTCCTTCCTACATTCCTTTTCAATTGTTCGAATATGTACCTTTTCTCGCAGAACACTTTTCATGAACGAACCCTTCTCAGCTGTGGGCAGTGACGTAGGCCAACCAATCTGAATAAGGAAGTACCATTAGGAGACAGTAAATAAAATTAATACAACAAACGCAAGGATGACAAAGAGATTTCAAGTATTGACTGTTTCAACAGAAAAAATAAAAAAAAGGACCTCACCTGGTTAAAATACAAGACCAACATCCTTTCCTCATCACCACCGCTCTTCCTGGAATAGGAAAAGAATAAAATAAAAGGAAAACTTTAGAATGAGCGCCGAGATAAGTAATGGTGAGTAAGATCTTAAAACTAAAGAAGTTAATAAATATAATACAGAGAGAGATCAAGAGAAGGACGGGATTTCTACTGGACAATTCTTCTCTTTCTTTCGTTTATATTTCATAAGATTATTTTCTTATGCCACCGATTTCTAATTATAAAATAGACACCCTGGAACCTGAAATTTTTCAGAGATATACTGAACCTCAAACTCAAGAACTCATATTTAAATTTACGACTTAAATGATTAATTTTGTGGAAATCACACCTTAGAAGGTCTAAATAGATTGGTTCAGTCCACTTCGCACAGTCCAGTCCAAGCTTTTGAAATGCTGAAAACAGATTAAAAAAAGTGTCAAGTTCAAGGCCATTTAATTGCTAATTGCTTACTAACGTATGATGAATTACTGAAAACAGATTAAAAATAGTGAAATAGCCATTTGCCAAGTGCTTTACTAATGTATGATGCTTGAATATAATTAATGTTATTTATATATCGCACCTACATTGAAGGCTTGCCGATTGCCCAAGCGATACACATCCATTAGTACCCTAAATCAATGGAAAGGCATTAGACAGAAAACTGCAAGCCATATCAATATGCACAATGCATTGCATTAAATAACATATAATTGGCATTGAGTGCCTGCATTCTACGGACTATGAATTTTGGGGGGCATGAAAAAACAGTTCTGGCTTCATGCATTTCAATTTAGCCGCTTTTCGCCATATTTCCTGTGAGTTAGAGAATTCCAATTTCCAAGCGGGTTACACATATGAGCAAAAATGTAAACTGGATGCTGCAGGGAGCATGATTGAATGAAACAGAAGAGCACAGAAAACCCGATTATCAGAAATAATACTAGCAAAGAATCTTTCAATAACTCAGTTAATTCCCAAGAATACAAGAGTAATTGGAAACAAAGAAACATCCTCTGAAATTTATTTATCAAAATGCCAAAGCTCCCTCAAAAGATCACACAGTTTGCTATTTATAATAGCAGAATTCTAATCACACCAAGAAACTAGAATCCCAATAAAATAAAAAACCAATTAACATAGGAAATAAAATAAAGCAGTTTTCCTAATCAAATTAGAAAATAGATCAAAATCTCCTAAAAATGTTATAATTGAACTTCAATTAAAAAAACTAGTACCGTTCAAATGACACTGACCAAACTGAAAACAAGAGCCAAAAGTCTCGTCCTGCAATTCTGCACACTAAAAAACACCCTTAGGGCATTGGCAAATATATACACGGCTCATTACAAGTTAGAGGTTCCACTAAAGAGAAGGAAGTAAGAGAAAGTTTAGAAAGGTAACTTGGTTGCGCATAGTGAGCAATTATGCACAAGTGAAAGTAAGATTGAATTCAAGTTGTGGGTTAAACGATGTAAAAAAAGTGCATGAGAGGATGCAAGAATAACTTGACTGCTTATGATTTTAAAGTGTACATGGACCTCAATAAAGCATCACGGAAAAAGAAGAGCCATGTTACTGGACCCAGGAACAAACCAAATATTTGGTGGAGGGCAAACCTTTGGAAAAGTCTTTGAAGGATTAGTTATAAAGGAGAGAAATAGAGGTTGGGGAGTCAACTCTTTATCACTATAAGGGGCACCTAAATGATAGCATAAAAATTAAGGAAGTTTTCAAAAATTCGGAGGGGTGGTTGCCCACTCCTTCTCTAGATCCACCATTTGTCAGAACCAAATATTATTACTCCAAATGATTCGGAAAGGTCGGGGGTAGAAAGAAAAACATAACTATCCAATTCAGTCTAATAACACTTCAGACATGACCAAAATTAATTGTTCTACAAAAATCTAGCCCAAATGTTATGGAAATTCTATCTTTTATGAAAAAAGAAAGAATAGCTAACTCGTTGACTATTCATTAATTCTAAGGGTTAAGATTCCAAAACAAGTAACCAATACTTGAAAAGGTTTTTGGGATCTTTAGCATCGGACAATGTGGCCTTGAACTCTCAGCTTTGATGTTTTCCCGTGTTCATGGGATATATAGAGTTAATGAATCAAAGTAGAGAATGCAAATTTGAAATAGCCGATAAATGAAGCTAAAAATTGGGTTTGAATCTTATGTACAACAAATCCTCATAAGGAATATGAACCACAATGAAAATGTAAGAAATTAAATGCAGAACAACAAAAAGACAGGCAATATCTAAATACCCCATAACACAAAATAACTAGCCGAATCAGAATCCATTAAAGGAGTTCGATGTAGTATCGAAATCACAGAATAAAAACGACAATTGAGTTCACGTGTACAATAGAAATACATGTTTGTGTACAAGTATTCGAAGGTTTAACATGCCAAGCAAAGAATCAGAATGGTACCCTTCAACTTCAAGAAGAACAGCAAGTTCTTGAGATGGGTTTTGATGCAAATGACTGGACGGTGAGCTCAACACAGTGAACCGATTGAACTGCAAACTTTTGCCGCAAAAATTCAACTTCCTCGGGAAAGTGGGAGAAAATGAAGGTAGAAAATGCAAATGGGTCCTCACAATATCACACAATCTGCTATTATTGTTGGTGATGCTGGAAAAGCGAAGGGGGTTCAGAACTGGACATGAAGCGGTTTCCATGCTACAAGAAAGTTTTCAGAGCGACTGTTGAATGACTACCACAGCTTACGATCGTCTCGATTTCCAATTTTTGTTTATGACAGTGCGAGAATTTATTGGATAATAAAAGAAAATCCCGGATGGAAGAAGTAAATAGTATATTGATATAGGTTCTTGGACGTGGATAAAAGTGGTGTATCACGGGACTAAGTTGTATCGCAATATATTATATATTTTTGTGTCATATTTTTATTATTTTTTTAATTTTAAATTACTATTTTTTAATAATTATTATTTATGTTAATTATAAGTTATAAAATCAACAATTTCTTTAGATACTGCAAAGGGAAATTGTGTATTTTTTTTTTTCTAAGCAACTTGGACTTCTCAGTAGGAGGTCTCCCAATCGTTGGGTGAGTCGGGTTCATATTATATTGATTTTGTGTCGTATATGAATTGTACATAATTGATATTTAAACAAATTATGTCATGTATTTTTTTTTGATTGATTTCACTTATATTCGATTCTTTCATTAATCATGTTGTGTCAAGTCTACTTATTTACAAAACAAGTCGCTTAAGAAATACTCAAACTCTCTAATTTTGTTTTGTATTCATCCAGCATTAATGGGCTGAAGTGATTTTTTGGACTCAACTATAATTATTGAGTTCTTTGGAAACCGGTATACCTAATTAGACTTATTTGGCAAAAAGTACATAGAAAAAAATGTTTTGGAAAAAAGTATACAACTAAGTTACAAAGACATAAATGCCCATTTTAAGGTCATTTAATTCAAAATCTCTTTATCTTTAATGCACATTGATTCATGTGTGTTTGTTAATACATATAAATACGTATTTAATGCACCTTAATTCATGTGTATTTATTAATACATATACTTATTGTTAAATCTCTTATCTAAATTTTGAATTATTTTTAATGCACCTTGATATATGCTTTTTTTTTTTTAGAAAGTGATTTTTTTTTTTAAATTATATTTAATGCACCTTGATTCGAGCATTTTTTTTTTTTGAAAAATTATTTTATATTTAAATTAATTTAATATCCGAATAATGTAATAGTATAACAAATACACTGTAACAAAAACAATGTTCAGTAGTTTTATATATGTGATAACAAATTCAAAACGGAGATATACTATTTTAAATGAAATTATATGAAACTATATATTTGACAAAATGTAATAATACAATATTTTATGTAAATAGTTTGTTACACTGTTATTGTTATACCATTACATTGTTACACTTTTATTGTTACATTGTCACATTTTTATTGTTACACTGTTAATGTTACATTATTACACTATTCGAATGTTGATTAATTTGAAAATAAAATCACTTTCCCAAAAAAAAAATGCATAAATTAAGGTACATTAAAAGATAATTTAAAATTTAGATAAGAGATTTAACAACAAAAATATACATATATATATATATATATATATATATATATATATATATATATATATATTAAAGTTATCCCATAAAACTAAGAGATGTTTAATACACCACTTTCTAAAGAAAAGTGGTGCATTAAATACACATAGATTAATGGAGGGTGAAAATATCACAAAAAAATCAGTAAAATTTAAATAATGTACTTAGATACAAATAAGTATCAAAATTAAAGACTTAATTACCCCCAACATTTTTTTCTATGTACTTTTTTACAATTAAGTCTAATTAGGTGTACCTCCTTCCAATTTTTCCATAATTAGATTATTCCATCAACTATATATTTTTTATATTGCACTTTTAATTATGTAATTAATTTAACAATTTATGTCTAAAAAAATAGTGGATGTTTGCTTTTGGGACTAATAGCAATGCAGCACGTGCAATGCACATAAATAATTTATTTTTTTAAAAAAATAAATAAATATTTGGTATATGTGTACTTGAATTAATTATCATTTTAAATTTATTAAACTTATTTTTTCATGTCTCTTGCTCCACTATAAAATTTTTGAAAACTTTGTATATTTTCAAGAGTAGATGTTCTAACTTTAAGAAAAAAAGAAAAATAAATAAATAATTAAAGTTCTATTTTGTTTCTATAATTTTGTAATTGAAAGTGAGTTTTTAATGATGTTTGAAAACTAAATTTTTTAAAATTAATTTAATTAAGATTCTACTTATAAATCATTGAATAAAATAAAAATAATTATCAATATATCAATCGTATTAGAACTTACTATATTTAGGATTAGTTAGGTTAATTGAGATAAAATTTAATATAGAACACTATAATATATATTATAAAGTATATTAAAAAATTTAAATTTTCACATAAAATGTTAATATAGTTTAAAAAGTTTATTGTGACTAAAAAATAATGTAAAACTATATATACATTATTTTTTTTATCTTAAAAATTAAATGGTTAAACATTTTGATCAAAAATAAAATATACATATGTAGTTATAAAATTATCTTTATAAATGAGATGAGTAATATTATATTGATGGAGTTTTTGAATGAGTTTTTGCAAGTTTTTTTGAATATTTTGTTAAAACATAAAATAATGCATATATTTTTTAAGAATAATAAAATCAATCAAAAAGTTTCATAAAAATTGGCATTTATAAATAGAGAATAGATAATTAGATGATTAATTTGATTAAGATTTTACTTATAAATCATTGAATAAAATAAAAATAATTATCAATATACCAATTATATTAGAATCTTACTGGATTATCTAGGTTAATTGGAATAAAATTTAATATACAATATTATAATATATATTATAAAGCATACTATTTTTTTTTAAAAAAAATCGAGTTTTTACATAAAATTTAAACACAATCTGAAAATTTTAATGCGAATATATATACATTATTTTTTATCTTAAAAATGAAAAGTTTAAACATTTTGATGAAAAATAAAATTTAAATATGTAGTCATAATATTATCTTTATAAATAAGGTGAGTAATATTATATTGATCAAAATTTTTGAAAGTTTTTTTTAAAACTTATAATGATGCATATATTTTTTAAAAGCAATATAATCAGTTAAAAAGTTTCATAAAAATTGACATTTATACATAGGGAATATATAATGAAAAGTGATCTTTGATGTAATTTGGGGATTTCAATGAATAAAGATATGATGGTAATTTAGATATTAGGTGTGAAAGGATAGAATGACCTTTTTAATTCTTTATAAGGGTAAAATAGTGAATTAAAATTTTTTATAACAAGATACTTTTATTAGTGGATTAGATGTGAAATAATTCAAATAGTTTGAGAGATGGAGTAAAATCGAGTCATAACTAAAGAGATCAAAGTATAAATTACCATTTTAAAAAGAGAAAATTGGTCATAACTCCGTCAAGATGTTCTTTTTGTCTTCTACTCGCATTGTACTTTTATGACATTAAATCCATGTCAACGTCCTTCTTTTTGCTCTCCAGCTCAATCTAATTTAATTAATCTTTTTTTAATAACCAACATACCCTCTAGCATTAACGCTTATTTAATAATTTCTCATAAATATCTCTCTCTCTCTTCTCCCTCTCATCTTTTTTTTTCATCTCTCTCCCTACAAACCAGTGAAAATTTGAACTCTATATTTTCACCACTAAAGCCATTGATTTCTTCTTTGTGGACTTCTCTTGCACTAAAATCAATCAACCACTTTTCAATTCTTTGCCAACCTCCTGTGATGTCCCCCCACCAAGAAAACCCCAAACAAGGCATTGTCAATAGACAAATGACATCCACTGGTCCCTTCAATTTTAGACAGATTGCTTCTCTTCGTAGCATCTGTTGTTTGCCCAGCGATGTTGAAGTGATTGGCAAAAACTTCAATGGCTTCCGATGGATGATCTGAGCAACAAGTGAACTAATTTGGTGAATAATAAAGGGACAAACAACATCTATATCTATACTACTTTAAAATGCGAGGATAATTGAAAAATTTTTATATTATTTTTTTACCCCCTAACTATTGATATAAAGACAGTCATATTCACTATGTCTTTTGGTTTTCCTTTAACCTCAACTACTCCTGTAACAACAAGGGAAATAATATGTATCACAAATTTATAACCTAAATTTGTATCCCAAATGAAGGGGACCATTGGATGACTGGGTCCCATTAATTTTTTTAGATAGGACTCATTGATCCAATGATCATCCTTCATTTGAGATGTAAATTTGGATTACATAGCATTGCTCTAATAACAATTGTATCCATGATAAATGATTGTTTAACATTTGCAACTATAACTCATAACGGTTCAAATTCTGGATAGGGACATTTCATCTTCCATGCTCCGCTCATACCCCTGCTCAGATCCAATCTGCTTTCCTACAGAGAAATCATTCATTATCTTCTATTTCCCTGTCCATTTCTTGAAGAAACTACACATGGTTTATCACTATTAATCCTTTTTTGCTGTAACCACTATTTATATTTTAAGATTGCAATTCCTAGCACAAAAACAAACTGAAAATATCACATGAATTCTGTAGGTAAGGCTATTATTGGAATTAAATTAGTACATCTTTCTATGTGATGATGTTGATTGAAATAATAGGTCCTAAGTAAAGTGCACTAATTTTTTTTATTTTGTCAATCAATCCTTCCCACAAGATGATCCACAAGCAAAAAGAGAAAAGAAACAATCATCCAAGAATCAATAAAAGCTAATTCAAGATCCCAAGTTGCTTCGTTTAATCTAATAAATCAAAAGCTGAGAGAAAGTTTACTTGGTTGTAGTCTAAAGTTGCCACAACTAATTTCATTATTCTCCATAAGTATATGCTTCACTATTCTAAGACTATCTCCAATAATAGAAACTCAAACCATTACCCAAATCTAAATTTAAACGGAGAGAAATCTATATTTAAATGAGGATAAACCCAAATATAAAAGAGGATAAAATATGATCATTTAATCTTTTAAGGATAGTGAAATCTCATCATTAAAGATTTGAGTATAAATTTGAGTCTTCCTTAATTTGGGTTTAAAAAAGGGATTTCCCTTCAT